AGAACAGTAATAATAACAGTAACAACATAGTGCTTACCCAGTAACCGTGCTAAGTACTTTGCATGTGACGTTTAATTCTCTCAACCATTCCACACTATTATGATCATGCCCATTTGATAGCTAAGACGACTGAGGTGCAGAGAAGGTAACTGACTTGCTCAGGGTCACAGGAAATTCATACGGGCTGAGGATCTGGATGCTGGCAGCCTGGCTGGGCCCTAGAACCTGTGTCCTTGACCATTGAGCCCAGTACTACCTGGTCTGGGGGCAGAAAGGAGCTCAGGACAGGAGGGATAGATGCGGGGGCAGAATGGAGGCCAAATGCAATCCTGTGACTGGGGCCACCCCTCCAGGGAGAGCCAAGGGACTGGGGTGGAAGGAGGGCACATGCCAACTGAGGACACTGACTCAGTCCTCAGGATGAGAGGTGAGGGGTGAACGGGTGGACATGTCCAGAACATGTCGGCCCCGCCCTGTGCGGCCCAGCCTGGCCCCCATTCAAAGATGAAAAGATGAGGCCTCTGACCCTGAGCTGCTCCCAGCCCAGCGGGAGAGCCAGACATGACGTTATCTGTGTCCCCAGAGCGTCTCTGCAGACACTGCAGTGCCAACGGCTCGGTCCTCAGTCCTCGGTCTTTTCACTCTCCGGGGCTCAGACACTGCCAAAGAGGGTGCCATGCTGAGAGGGGGGCCCTCCCTCCTTCCTCCTTCTGTCATCTAAACTTATAGTTGCCATACTAACTCAGCTGATGGGTTAAAACTTTAGCCCCCTGGCACCCTAAGGGAGCTGCCCCAGGAAGCCTCAGACTCCCAGGCTGGGGGGAGACCCCTCCTTGGGCTTCTCCAAGCACTTCCTCTGCCTTGCGCCTTGTGAGCTCCTGTGGAGCCTCCCTCCTCCAGCTCTTCCCTTCTTCCTGCCTGGAACTTGGATGTGATGGCTGGTGCTCAGGCAGCTTTCCTGCTAGAAAAGGCATATTCTTGTCCCTGGGGCCTGCACAGCCCGGCACAGGGAATGTGGACACAGTCATTTCTTCCTCAAGGGTACACCCGGCGGCTGTCATCAGATTATGATCCCGGCTCTGCCACCTGCTGCATGGATGCCTTGGGCAAGGGTCTTCATCGCCCTTGCCCTCGTTTGTGCTCCTCACAGGGCTAAATTGAGACCCCCTGTATTACATGCTCAGCACAGTCCCTGGAATTTATTGTTATCATGAACACTGGTCACATTTCTCCCAGGTAAGGGGGGGCATCTGCAATGTCCCCATCTTCTCTCCTCATTCCAGCGCCCCAGGAAGCCCTGGAGACCCTTTATTGGGCACCTCTGGAATTTGCTGCCAGCCTGCAGAATGGGACGACACCCAAGCTTAAATTCTGAATCCCTGGAACCCAGAGTCCCCAGTGGAATTTTACAAGTAGCTCTTATTTAATAAAAGCAACAGATGACTTTTATCCAATAAAATATAACCTCAAATCCATTCAGGACCAGCAATGAATTCAGATGGAGGAAAGCTGGAGTTATTGATAATAAAGCACCGATTGTCAGTCTCGCTGGGGCGAGGCATCTGCTTGGAGCCTGTCTATCAAGATGGGGAGAGCTTTAGTGGTGGCAACTGCATGGAGTCCAGGGTGTCAGGGCCCTGGGTTCAGATTCCAGCTCAGCCGCTGAGTAACCTCGGGCACGTCCCTTCGCCTCTGCATGTCTCTGCTTCCTTCTCTGTAAATCAGGAATAACGGCAACAGGTCCTTTCTCTGGTTCTGAGTCCACCCGGCGCCGTGGCCCTCAGCCCGGGATCCAACTGCTACTCTCTTGCTCTCCCCTGCAGGTGTTTCCAGCTGTGCGCAGGGACTGATTGGCTGGGGACCCAACAGGACAGCTGCAGACACCGTAACCGTGAACGGTGAGCGACTCTTGCGGTCTGAGCTCAGATCTCCAAAGGGCACCAGTGGGGCCCACTGGCAATGTGGGAGCACGGCAGAGCTGTCCCCTGGGTCTTGGAAACGTGGTTGGGACCAAGTTCACGGCGCTGTGCACCTCTCCTTAGCTGCACTTAGCATCGCTGAGATTTTCCCAGGACTAAGGGACTTTTGGACGAATGCTTGTCTCCCCTACTAGACGGTAAGGGGAAGGGGAGGGTCCAGAGGACAGATTCTGAAGTTGGGTTGACGCTCAGCTGTATGACCTTGGCTTAAGCTCTCCGTGCCTCAGTCTCCTCATCTGTAAAATGGGGTTCATGGCCTACCTGCCTCACTGAGCTTTAGCAAGCAAGAAGAAAGCGTGTGCATGCCACACCTTCAGATAGCACCTGGTGTGGAAGGAGGTGCCGGACAGTCCTTAAATGAATGACAATAGCAAAAGACAAGTAGTTAAACTACGGAACTGGCCTTGCTCATGGCCAGGGACAAGGGCACCGCTCTTGCTGGTGTCCGTTAACCTCCTAAAGCCGGTGCCAGCCAAGGTTCCTCTAACGTCCCCTGTCTCCCCCGGCAGACGATGGAGTACGAGGACTACAACTACTCCCTCTCCTACGACGATGAAGATTTCAGCACCATCATGATTCCGGAGGAGTCTCGCTCCCCCGAAGGCGACGTCATCAGGATCTTCCTGGTGGCGATCTACAGCATCGTCTGCTTCCTCGGGATCCTGGGCAACGGCCTGGTGATCTTCATCGCCACCTTCAAGATGAAGAAGACGGTGAACACGGTCTGGTTCATCAACCTGGCCATCGCGGATTTCCTGTTCAACCTCTTCCTCCCCATGCACATCGCCTACATCGCCATGGACTACAACTGGGTCTTCGGGACGGTCATGTGCAAGATCAACAGCTTCCTGCTCTTCCACAACATGTACACCAGCGTCTTCCTGCTGACGGTCATCAGCTTCGACCGCTGCGTCTCGGTGCTGCTCCCCGTCTGGTCGCAGAACCACCGCAGCGTGCGCCTGGCCTACATGGCCTGCGTGGGCATCTGGGTCCTGGCGTTCTTCCTGAGCTCGCCGTCCCTCGTGTTCCGGGACACGGCCCTCGTGCACGGGAAGGTCTCCTGCTTCAACAACTTCAGCTCGTCCCCGTGGTCCGCTCAGCCCCAGCTGGACTCCGTGGGCTTCCACCGGCACCTGGTGGTGACCGTCACGCGCTTCCTCTGCGGCTTTCTGATCCCGGTCCTCGTCATCACCGCCTGCTATCTCACCATCGTCTGCAAGCTACGGCGCAACCGGCTGGCCAAGACCAAGAGGCCCTTCAAGATCATCGTGACCATCATCATCACTTTCTTCCTGTGCTGGTGCCCCTTCCAAACCCTGTTCCTCCTGGAGCTCCACCACACCTCCGTGTCCCGCTCTGTCTTCAGCTTGGGTCTGCCCCTGGCCACTGCCATCGCCATCGCCAACAGCTGCATGAACCCCATTCTGTACGTCTTCATGGGTCAGGACTTCAAGAAGTTCAGGGTAGCCTTCTTCTCCCGCCTGGTCAACGCTCTGAGTGAAGACACGGGCCACTCCTCCTACCCCAGCCACAGGAGCTTTACCAGGATGTCAACCGTAAACGAGAGGTCCTCGATGAATGAGAAGGAGACCAACATGCTCTGAGCCCCCCCTGGGGGCCCCAGGAGACACCCCCGACCTTGGCGTCCAGAGCTCTGCTTTCTCAAGACCGCAGCAGGAGCCTCGTCAGCACCCACCGATGCCCTCTGTATTTTGCACGGGGCTGAACAGTGTTTTGAGCTGGGCACCCAGGGCTTGGAACCCCTGTCTTGCAGTGGCATGGGGGACATGGCAGGCCATGTGGCTCAGAGCCTTGGACCAGCATCCCACGCTTCTTGGGGAGACCAGCCTTGACTGATGCAAAGCAAAAAAAAAAAAGGGGAACATTCTCAAAAGCACTGCGATCGGCATAAGACCCGGAGACTCTGCTATCTACTGTGCGCTCCCCGGTAATGACACAAACACTCTACAGGGTCCGTTCCTGGTGGGAGCAGAGGAGGGCAGAGCTAACCAGTGTGACACTCGCAGGTCACACCTCCCCCTGCATACCTGTTCAATAGCCAGGCAGGAACCCCACCACTCCAGCCATTACTTGGCTTAGGGTGTGTGGAAACGTACCGGTGACCTGGGGGAAGAAAGGGACATGTGAGCACCTGGCCCCACAGGACCGTGCATTTGGCTTTCAGACCAAGTAGGAAGACAAAGAACAGGTTCTGAGGGGCCACGTGGGCTCTTTGTGAGGGCGGACAGGCAGGGTGCAATGGGAGCTGGGGAAGGAACTGAGAAGGGAGAGCACTTTCAATGGGCCACGGTGCTTTGTGCTGGAGTTATTTTGGGGGTGGGGGTGGTGCTAGCCCTTTCCCCCAACCTCTGTTCTCACTTTGCATTTGTTCCTGGGTGGGGAGGGGCTGGGTTGAGGGGGCAGCTTCACCAGCAGCCCCCATCCCCTCCCAGCGGTTCCCCTCTCCTTCCCTAATCTATGGGCTCTGGCTGGAGCCGCTCAGAATGAACCCTGGGCAAGAGGTGAGGTAGGAGGCCTCTCGTCTTCCTCCTGAACTTCCTCAAAGCCTTGCTAGAGACTAGTCCCAACTCAACTTCAGGAGGCGACCTGGGAGTGCCTCCCAGCTGGGAGAGTAGGGGGCTGTCCAAGGGCTCGGTCACCGAATTCAAAGAGGAGTCTGAAGCCTGAATCCTTCAACTGTGGCTTCTGGGATGCAGGCCGCAGGGCTCCTGTGCGCGGCCCCGTGGCCTTTTCTCACCTAGGACAATACCTTCTCACCTAGGACAATACCTTCCTGTGCTACGGTGTCATTATCCCATTTACAATGACGAAGCTGAGGCTCAGAGAAGGCAAGCAACTCGCCCAACAGCACACAGCTAGCCAGAGGCTCTGTCTCTTTCTATAGAGAATGTATCCATTGAGAACATTCTAGACGATAATGATAGCCTTCATTTATTTAGCACCTCATATGATAAGCACTTTACACGTATCTCATTTATTCCTCACAGCTGCCCTGAGTTAGGTACAATTACATTTTACTTCCCTTCACATATCAAGTATCTGAGGCTCAGGGAGGCTAAGTCACTTGCCTGAAGGCACACAGCTGGTCTCTGCCAGAGCCTGGATTTGAACCTATGTGTCTGTCTGGCTCAAATAAGGCTGCAGAGTCTTAAGGTTTTGAGAGGGGCCAGGAGTTTTGACCATAAATATATATTCCTCAGTGGATTAATATATAAACACCTCAATGGCCTTTAAGTCAGCTGTGCAAATAGTTTTCAAAAATGACCCAACAGGGCAAAGATGATGCCATTGGCCTCCAGCTCCCTGGACACCCATCCTCACGCCCCCCCATGGCTCCGCTTCCTGCACCCCCGAGACCTCAGGGAAGGCAGGGGGGACAGGGGCCTGGCTGGAGGCAGCCCCTTGTGGGCCCGAGGCCCTTTGGTCTCCAAGGGTCTGCATTCTGTTCTCTCCCAAGTCCCTTCATTGTGAAGCCAGTTCTCCAACAAGATGCTATGAACAGATGTAACGTCTACACAGCGCCCGGCAGGCTCCCGAGGCCACGGGCTGTTTGTAATCACACCTCATTAAGAGACAAACTGTTCCTTCACGAGTCAGGTCCAGTTGTGTTTATGACGGGCCAGCTCTGAATTGATCCCCAGCTGCAGCCTCCCGTTGCTTGAAGCAACCTGCACCCGGACAGTGTGAGAGCGAAAAGGGAGCTTCAGAGATAGCGCCCAGTGCCCCGGTCACCCCCTCCCCAGCTTCACAGGAGAAGCAACTAAGGCACAAGGGGGTGTGGGCCGTGAGCCAGGTCCCAGAGGCAGTCCCCGGCCACTTGGACCTCTGAGCCCCAGGCCAGGGCTGCTTCCTCGGCACAGCTCCTCTCTCCACCCCGGCTGCGTCCAGGCCAGGCGGGGCCCCGGGGGGCCAGGAAATCATTTTGTCGTTGGAAAAGCTGATGATCGGGAGCGAAATCCAAACCAGCTGTTCCCCTCTTTCGGGTCAGGCCTCCTTTTTCTGCCCCTGCTCCCCTCTCTTCCTGTTCTGGCTGCAGTTTCCCATTAAAGGTTAAATGCCACTATGATGGTCCCTTCGATCTTGTCCCTACAGCCGTTTCTGAGGACCACCGCCTGTCACACATACAAGTCCCTGCTGTTCACAGGCAGCGAGCTCGCCCTGTGCCCCGAGCCCTCCCTCGGGGGCCAGGATCCAGCCCATGGGGTCGCAGTGCTGCCTCCTGGGTGGGGTGCGTGGGCTGAGGGGGTGCTGGGAAGCAGGCAGAGGGGCAAGAAGGGAAGATGACGTTTGACTTGAGGACAGAGGAGGGGGCACGGAGGGGAGAGGGAGGCACAAAGGAAATGGCAGATAAGCGAAGGAGAGGAACCCCGCATTTACTGAGCATCTACCGTCATATGCAGGCAAACTCTCACCACACCCTCAAAACGGTCCTGCGAGGAGAGGACCCTCAGACCCACGTGGGGATGCAGGAAGCGAGGCTCAGATTGCGGGCCTCACGCGTTCAGGGTGACAAAGCGAATAAATGGTGGAGCTGGGCTTCGAACCAGGTCTGTGGCTGAGCTCCCAGCTCCTTCAGCCCTTGAGAGGCAGGAGGGGGGTGGGACTGAGAGGGGATCAGGGAGAGGGGCTCGGAAGGGGAGATGGATTGGTCTTAGGGGCCGGGATGGGTGGGAGAACAGAATCCAAAAGCGAGAGCCATGAGGGCCCGTGGGAGCCTGAGATGAAGGGGATGCCCCGTGGGGCAGCGATATGCTCAGATCTCCGTCCCTTCTGACGCCCAATCCCCGGGCCCTTCTGGGGAGTACAGGTTGGAGAGGGTTGGGGACTTGGGGGCCGCTGCAGCCTCCAAATGTTGCGATGAGGCCTGGACTTTGGGAGCAAAGGAGGCCCTTGAGAGGAGTGGACGGCTGGAGGGAGGCTTCAGAGCTCCCCAAGCTTTCTCAGGGGAGTGGTTAGTGGGAAACCAACCCGGGGACCGTTTCAGCTGCACAGAGGCCTCGGTGCATTGCTTTATTGACGGAACTTAATTGTAAATATTATTCAAATGTACCTCCCAATGCACAATTATATTTCTCAGGGGAGCCCTCTGAGCACATAATAAAGCCCTATAAATAAAACATATATTAACCTACGAGCAACAGAGGCTTATTCACGCTCCTATGGCGGGTGGTGGCTGTGGGAATTGAGGCAGACAAGACTCTGAGAGCTTGGACTTGGGGTTTAACCTTGGAGGTTACTGAGTTCTGTCCCGGGGGATCTTCCAGAAGTCTCTCCCCCCCATAGGAGATGGGGTTACCCCTCTGCACGTCAGCCAGCTGCTGCCCCAGAGACCTGGTCAGTGGCCGTGGGTGGGAGGTGTAGAGAGGAGGAAGCACGGGCCTATCTATAGGACCCTTACCTTCTGCTCAGAGATTCAACAACGCGACAATAATAATAGTGGGTAATCTGAACTGAGCACGTCCAAGGCTGGGGCACCCTCCAACCTTTGTGGTGAGGACCATTCCTATCTCCGTGTACCGATGAGGAAATGGGGGTTCAGAGAGGTGAAGCGACTTGCCCAATGTCACACAGCTAACAGGTGACAGAGCTGGGATCCAAACCCCAGTGTGTCTGACTCTAAAGCAACCTACAAACCTAAGCTGTCCTCTGAGCAGACTCCTCTGTGGGACAAGGCAGGCACGTGTCAAAATCTCCAGGGTGAGGTTTTGAGAAGATGGGGGGTGGGCCTAAGGGGTTGTTTTTCCCTTTGGAGGGAGGAGGTGGTGTCTGGATGTGTTTGTCGCTTCCTCACAGCCCTGGGAATCTTAGGATATTTGAGTTTAGAAGAGATGCTACTTCATCACATTCATCCCTTCCCATTCCCCCATTTTACAGATGCTCAAACTGAGGCACTTTTTTTTTTTTTGGAAAATAAGATTGGGACCTCCTACCTCACTGGCTGCTGGGAGAAGAGATATGTACGAACATGCTCACAGGAAGCACTTTTAAAGCACCGTCAGGCTAGAGACCAGGGCATCCACCAAGCCACCCTCTCCACTTCTTAGTGTGTGGGCAAGGACTTTGGTGCGAATCTGCCCTGAAGGACCCCAGCCCAGAATCTCGGGGTCACTGGGGAGTTTCCAGCAGAATCTTGGCTGAAGGGGAGGCAGGGGATCTTGGGAAAACCTGGTATGGGGCAGGAACATGCTGTGTTTGGGGTCACAAACTTTACTCTTTAAAACTGCCCCGGATACCGGTGAGGGTTACTCTGCATCTTGATCGCGGTGGTGGTTTGTGGCTGTCCTTCTATGTGAAACCCCGTCTGTCTGTACGTATAAGAGGAAGGCACGCACTGCAGCAAGTTATGCCTCAGTGGGTAAAATAACTTACGATGCCTGCAGCAATGACTTCTCACTTTCACTGGTGCTCTGGGCAGAATCAGGTCTGGGGGCTTCTCTCTGATTCAAAACAATGTTAGAGACGGATGGAGTCCTTGCAGAGCCCATCCAAAGAGTCTCAGGAAGGACTGAGCCCTCCTGGGGGTCACCCCAGCCCTGTCCCCTGACTCAAAGGACCCTCGATGGTTATGACGCAGGATCACATGGGCTTGGGAGTCAGACTTCCTGAGCTCCAGTCCCAGCTCCACCATTTACATCAGCTAGAATCAGGGCTAGAATTAGGCTCTGTGACCTTAGTAAGCTACTCAGCCTCTCCAAAGCCTCAGTTTTCTCATCTGTGAAATGGGTATAATAAGAATTGGCCACTCTCAGGGTTGCTGTGAGGATGAAACGAGTTGCCCCACGTAAGCGTTTAGCAGAGGCCGGGCTCATATGTGCCACCCACTTTCATCTAGACGTGGCTCAGCCTCTCCCTGGTCTCCCCGCTGCCAGGCTTGCCCCCGACCACCCACTGTCCACGAAGCAGCCCGAGGAAGCTCTCATCACAGAGCTTCATCAGCCAAACTCCATTTCACATTTCCGCCCCCATAGTGATGAAACTTGGGAAAGGGCAGAATTATCCCCATTTCACAGACGTGGAAACTGAGGCCCCAGGTCACCTCTTCAGAAGTGGAGAAGCCACAGCTCTTTCCCTTGGACCGTCAGGAGCAGTCCCACTTGAAGGAGATTTCCATGAATCCCACGCCAAGCTCATTGCTCCACCCTCGGCCTCTTCCCTTTGTCTGATTAACTGCTGCCTGAAAGTCAAGAAACCAGACGCCTCCCTCCCCCTCACGCCCTGTCCCCATTGTTTTGTAATTCTTTTCCGGCCCAG